CGGTTTCGGAGATTGTTGCTTTTGTGGCCGTTGTGGTATCTCTGGTTACTTCCGTGTTTTGCTACGTAAAGATCCACCTGAGATTACAGCGGTACCAGGCTGAAGTAGAAGACAACCCTGGCGAAGGACGGTCAAACGCAGGAGAAGATATAGGAGTAGGAAAAGATGAAGCAGGCGCAATAACGGGGACAAGAACAGCCACAGAAGAAGGAGCAGGAGTAAAAGGTACAGGAAGGGGAAGAGTACGTGCATGGACAGCAAAAGGTTCATCAAAACAAAGATTAAACGGGAGAGTTCAACTAAACATCAAACAATATCAGAAAACAGTTTCCAGCATATTTTGGGTGCAGTTGGCTTTAGTGGCATGCTACACCCCTTTTATAATTGTGTCGATATTGAGACATACAGTACTTAGTGGATCAGCAGTTCATGCTCTGTGGCTCTTTACGAAAACTTTAGTTTATCTGAACTCATCTCTGAATCCCTTTCTTTACTGTTGGAAAATCACAGAAGTGAGAAAGGCAGTAAAGGACACAGCCAGGGCGTTTTGTTGTTGTTCGTGATTCAAGGTCGCCTTTATTTATGTGGAAAAACTTCCGTGTCCTTAAAAAAATAATTTTTTGCGAATTTTCATATTAATCAATAAGGAATCATTGAATGCTGACAAGTAATTGCACTTACAGAGTCGAAAACTCTATTGCAATATGAGGAGGAATACAAATTTCTTTTTCTTTTCCATGTTCTCTTTACAGGAAGGAGAATAAGAAGAGGAAGACATAACATCAATTAGTCTCTTTTTTTTGCCATGAAATACAATGAGATATTGATTGAGAATTGATTCTTTCTATCTATTTTGGACGGGTTTCTAATATTTATTTAAAGATCGCCCATGCATAAACAAAATTAATAAATAAACGTTAATTGTGGACTTGTCTTTGCTCGATATGCCCTGTTCTCTCATACGTAAATCTAATATCTCGCATTTTGACTGAACAAACCGTTTTCAGCGAAGTGCGAAGCAACTTTGTCGAATAAAACCTTAAAAGATTCTACCCCGTACATTTGTGCGGCCCCTTTAGTCCTCTTGCTGGCGGCGCTTTTAAACAAGGAAGGTTGTTATTTTCTTTTCCTTTTTCGCCGCCTCAGTTATTGCTGACTTCTCTATTTATACAGTCACAGTGAACCACTGCTTTCTTTTGCATTTTTGGCCTCTTTCAGCTGACTTTTCCTCACAGTCAGGAGGAAAAACCTCAAGATGAATTTGTCTAACCGTTATTTTAAAATGCGTTATGCTTGAATAACAAATAAGACCACATTAAACATCTCACAAATTGGGGACGCCACAAAAATGGCTGATTGGTAATTAAATGGCTTATATTTTGGTATTATTAAATTCGAGAATAATAAAAAACGAGATTTAGCTACTCAAGTTAATTAAGGCCTGGGTCGAAAATGATTTTCGCCTCCAGTGCCCCCCCAGCAAGGTTCGCGGAATTCGCATGCACTGTGCGAGTAACCATAGTTACTTGGAATCAAGATCGCGTAGTTCGTGAACGGCATCCGCCATTTTGAAGTGTCGGCTTTGCATTGGTTTTCCCATCTTCGCAGGTGAATCCGACAATTTAGAGGAAGACATCAAAAGAAGGTAATAAAATTTTCTTTGCTATCTTCATTTCCTCAAAAAATGGCATGATATCGCTATCTTAAAGCCAAAGAGAACCCTTTTGAACCTACGAAGACTTCTAAACACCGCTCTCAACATGTTCATTGACTTCACTGCAAATACAATGCAACATGAATTTATAATATAGCACTCATGTTTGTAACTAATATGCATAGAAAAAAGTACTATGTTTTGTAACAAATGCATAGAAAAAAGTTTCATTGTGGATATACCATTCAATTTTGAAATTAAATTTAGCTTGATAAATCCTCTATCATATCATGATGAGTATACTTATGGTGTCTATCAAAATTTAGGCTTTTGAATGCTTTGGAAACAATTTCCTCAAGAGGCAGATGAATTTACTTACAAAAGTAATCTCCCAAAGCAGTTAGGTAAGTTTAATTGCTTCTGAACACTCGCGTGTCAAAATGGCGGACACTAAGTTGAATACGAGTCCGCCAGTTTTCAAAATTCCCACCTCTTAAACAGTTTTAATTTGTCTTTTTTCCAAATAAATAGGAACCTGTAGGATTACTTTCATTGACAGCGGTTGGAACCAGGTAAAGGCTAAGATGTTTTCGGGCGAAAACCATGATAGAGGAAGCAGCTTCGCAGAGACAAAACTTGATTTAATCTGCCTAGTACATCTATCTTTTTTTTGGCAGCCATTCCAAGTGGGAAAACAATGAAAAACGTCTCAAATATTCATAGCGATAACTGCATTTTGATTTGCCTTGTCTTTAATGGTAGGAATTTGCTCAAGAAAGCAACCGACGAATTTGGCGCCTAAATTAACTGTTTCTGGCTGTTGAGAGTGTCATATTACGCTGCCACAATTAAGTCCGAGAGAGATGGTAGTGATACACATTTCTGCCAAGTATGAGAAAAATCCCTCGCAAAATAGCTAAGTTATTCTCAATTTTGTGAAAAATATGATGAAAGGCAGGGTGACTCAGGCTTTCAATGTTAACTGAAAACTTTTTTTTCCTTGAACATTAAATTTATGATGAAAACACCAGCGGTCGTAATGTTGATGTAATACGAATAAATCATTCACACGAGCTCTAGAATATACTGTAGGCCATTTTGGCAATAGTCTTGGTTTTAAGGGCGTGATGAATGACTCAATAGCTTGGTCATTAAAACCGGCTACGCTCTCACAGAAAGGCACAATCTGTCTCCTCCTGACGGTTTTTAAGAAGTATTACGTGCTTAGTTATCAGTACCTGTTGTAGTATTTGACGACGGCAAATTGGGTCGTTAGGCTTTCAAATACTTTATTCTTAGTCGCATAAATAAACCGTTTTGGTTGACAGATATGTTAGCCTGCTTGTTTTGATAACACCAAGGGTAACAATACATGATTATTGACACACTTCAGTTGTTGTTGTACAGGTGCTGGTGTTGGTGGCCAGCCAAGACCTTTCAAGTTTATTTATATTTTCTTCATTGATATTAATTTTACAAGATACGGATAGAAAAATGATCCATTTTCCAATATTTTCTTCTCGGAAATGTTTGCATTATTACCATAAGTTGCGATGCCAATCGCCCTATTGAAAGTTTATCAAATGATTATTTCCTAACTCTTCACCAAGGTAGAGTTAACTAGTGGTGGATATTTACCAAGCTGCCAAGCGGAGATGTAAATATCTACCCCTAGCCACCGGCACTTAGATGAATATTTGTTTTTGTATATAATTTAATACTGTGAGATAAAATAATACAAAAAGATGATTTTGAATAATTTATTCCTGTAATAATCACAACAATTTTGGGCGCAAATCCCCTGGAGGTGAATGGAGAAGGATGTGCGGAGTAACGTTTTAGTGACTACTTTTGGGTTCCTTATATCTATATATGGATCGAAATATGTCAGATTTTCGGGAGATTCAAACAAAAAAAAAATTTAAATTTAATTTCGTGTGCAGAAATCTAAACGATAAATACTTCCTTATAAGCATATTGAACAGTCAAAGAGATAAATACTGAAAAAAAGGCAAAAACCAAAATTTTTGAGATCGACGTCAGAGTCCCCACCGATCTTTTGATCGACGATCGTGGTTTTATTTCACTTTCATTTAAAGGACACTCCCTGTCTCAGAAAAAAATTGTTGTCTTAGCCCAGCCTTGAACTGGGAGAGAAATCTGAAGTTTAGTATCATCCAATAATATTCAGTAAAACAAGATTGAGGGGCATATGAAAAGTCATTTACATAAATTCTGAACAAAACAAGTCATGGAATAACTGCTTGTGGCACTCTGGATTCAAAGACCAGAGAGTCAGGGACTCAGAATTTATGAGCGCTACTTGTTTTCTAGCAGATGGATTAATGATGAACTAAGCCACGCCGAAATGCCCTCGTTTATTTTGTCAAAGGCCTTGCTCATGTCAAGAAACACAACGACGGACAGTAAGAAAATAACTGCTGTTGGCTATTTCTCTAAAAATCATAGCACAGTACTTCTCACGATGAAAGTTGAAGCAATGGGTTAGGCAATGTCAGCGTTATATGTAAGTGCTCGTGAAAAAAACAAAATTGAAAAATGACTGAATGAGAATCCATTATTATATTAGCTCGTCTGTGTTTCTCGAAAACGCCATCTATTGCTTGATTAAACTCGACATATTTGCTGACATAGTGCACCAGGAAGGCACGATTAGTATCAACAATATTCAAATACAATACCCCGAGACGCCAAAATGCCTGAAACTGTGGAGATAAAAAGTAAAAAATAATGCTTCCTTGGCACTTGGAATATCTGCCTTAGGCCAACTTCTGCACTAAGAATCATCACAATGGGGTCATTTATGTTTCAAACTTCTAAAACACTTTTCTCAGACAATGATTAGAAGCAGTGATGTGAAATAACAACATTCAAGACTAATCAGCTTAATACCGCCTATCTAATCAACAAATTGGAATAGATAACTCGATTGAAAAGGCCGGTGAGTCAGTAGCTGTCTACAAAAGGGATAAAATGTATTGGGTTAATAATGCTTTGAAAATATGCTACTTCTGGTTGCTAAGCGAGCGTAAGCTGGGAATAGAAAAATATACACACTAGTCAGAACTAACGCAGCGCTACTGGATTTTCGTCAATCTTACTCTTTGAAGGAGGCCAGATGTCATTTTAGTTTATGGTGTCCTTCAAATCTACAGTTAGATCCAGACCAGCAATTTTGCTGCAATGAATGGAGTAAACGAAACGAGTTTAGCTTATATAAGTTTATTGAAGCATTTAGGGAGTGCTTTGCAACGAGTAAATTATTCTTGATTATATTAAGAAATATTACTTATACTAGGAACAACACTCACAAACTTACGCAGCATTTCTGACTTGATCAGTTATAAAAATTATCTTAATAGCAATTCCTTTTTTTTTTTTTTTTTTTTTGTCTCTATCAGCCTACAGTCAATAACATCAACAAAGCACTGACAATTGCACCGAGTGAATAAACGGTAAACTAAGAAATGCAAAAGTGAAGTAAATAAACATGTTTTTCTTTCTAGGAAATTCCACTTAACCTCCATTTGTAAACTATGAAAATGGTTATCGTCACTACCAAAGCATTACTAAAGTAAAAGTACGATACAACCTACGTCTTAAAATCAGAAGCTATGAAATATTGAGGCCGAAGTTCTCGAAATCTAAACTACAAATTACCACAGAGTGCTACAAGACTACAACCTTAGAGGTTCAGCAATTCTGCTATTTAGCCTCAGTCCTGCACAAGAGGAGTTGCTTCAGATGACTCCTCGTCTTCGTCACTTCCAGTTTCGTCTGTATCCGCAACAGTAAGTTGATTACCATCATACTCTTGTGCGCCAGCCTCCCCTTCAAGAAGGTCTACAGCATCACTTTGGTCGTCCATATTGTTTCCTAGATCGTCTTGTTCATCCTTCGTGTTCTCTAGTTGGCAAGTCTTAGGTTCTTCTTCTACTGCCTCCTTTTCAGATTGAAATGCTACAGCACCTTCATAACCAACGTTATTTTCAGGTTCACTTGTTACACCTTCTTCGTCATCAGTCGGGGTTTGTGGAGGGAAGACGGAATCACTGAGGCCTTCTTTTTCGATCAGAGGATTGTATTCTAAAGAATCAAGATCTTCTTCCTCGATCACACAAGGGAATGGTGAGGCATCGGGTTTGTTCACCTCATTTGCGGAGTGTGCAAAAGAGGTAGGATCTTCTTTTTCAGTAACAGAAAGGTATCCTGTGGCTTCCAAATCTTCTTCCCCAGGTACAGGGGAGCATGCTGAGTTATTGGAATCTTCTTCCTCAACCACAAGGGGGCATGCTAAAGAATCAGAATTTTCTTCGTCAGTCACAAGGGGACATGCTGAAGCAGCTAGACCGTTTTCGTCCATCACCAGGGAGGATGGTAAAGGATCAATTTCTTCTTCCTCAATCGCAAGAGGGCACTCGGAGTCATCAATTTCTTCTTCCTCAATCGCAAGAGGGCACTCGGAGTCATCAACATCTTCTTCCTCGTTCTCGCTAAGGTATGGTAAAGTATCGCTCTCCAAAGGGTAAGCTGGGGCATCCATATCTTTCTTATCACTCTCAAAAGGGTATGCTGCGCAACCTTCTTCTCCTACTTTGATTCCGAGAGGGAAAGCTGTAGCACCATCGTCAATTCCAACCATAGAGGGATGTGCCGTAGCACCGTGCTTACCCACCTCACGGGCTAGATTTCCTGTAGCTGCCTCTTTGTCTTGTAAGTTAATAGCGAAGGGGAAGGCTGTAGCACCATCGTCAATTGCAACCACAAAGGGATGTGCAGCAGCAGCGTGCTTACCCACTTCATGGGCGAGATTTGCTGCAGCTGCCCCTTTCTCTGGTACGTTAATAGCGAAAGGGAAAGCTTGAGCACCATCGTTTATTGCAATCACAAAGGGATGTGCCGTAGCACCGTGTTCACCCACTTCACGGTCGGGATCTGTTGCAGGTGCTCCTTCGTCTCCTACGTTAATTCCAAGAGGGAAAGCTGTAGCATCATCGTCCACTGCAACCAGAAAGGGATGTGCCGTAGCACCGTGTTCACCCACTTCACCGATGGGATTTGCTGCAGCTGCTCCTAGCTCGTCCGGTCCTGCATCTTCTGGGTTTGCAACAGCTCCACGGTCATCGACAGAGTTGTACTTATCCTGATCATACTTGTCATCGTCAAAGATATCTACATATGTCTATGAAAAAGATTAGAAGGTAATCAGGAACTGCATGAGTTAAAAAATCTTGAACGAATGAATTTAAAAAATTCAACAAAGAAATTCCAAAAATGAGTCACTAAAAAGAAAAAAAAGAGCAGATCAGATATCAATCACAAAGACAAGAACCATTAGTACTTGCATGAATTGATAAGAATAAAAGTCAGGTAAGGTCTTCCTTTCTGTCAAAGTTTTCCAAAAGTGTTATTTTACGATCTGTTCCGTTCTTTCTTGTGCATAGACAACAGAGGGAAAATAAGGATGATCCAGACTGACATGACGTAACCACACTTGCGTATGTTTAAAAGTAACATTGGTTCATGATGAAACTGAATTCACAAATTGTTAGCGGCTGGGTAGTTAATGCGTTCTGACTATAGCCGCAAACGCTAATCACTCGTATTTCAAACTTTACTAGAACAAACTTGACAGATTGTTGAATACGCTAAAAGACGAATGTGACCAAACCAAAGACGAAAACATGAAACCCAGAGCTAGATATGTAACGATAATTTTCGCAAACTAGACAACTAACCAAATAAATTACGCGCAACCAATATATATATACGATATGCAAATAAATATAACAAGTACAAAACTGGTAACTGACAAAGGACACTAATGAAGACGAGAAAATAAACACCTAACACGAAACTATGAAACACCAACACTAACAAAAAATGATAATACAAATTCTTGCGCCTACACTGACATCACATTATTGACGAGAAAAGAAATTCGCAATTGACTTGGTAGGATACCAATTTCAATTTCTGAAGTATATCCTGAATTAGACGCTGTATGGCAAACCTTTGTTTTAATATATGTATCCATTGTTTGGTAGAGCTTCACAAAGTGTGGCCGGCTGGCGCTTTCGTATTTCCAGCAGTTTAACATCACCGCGTATCTATAGAAAAACACAGGGACATATGATCACAGTAATTCTGCAGTAGGCATTAATATTGCAAGTAGCAAAGTTGAGAAACCACAACTAGTTACAAAAATAACTGAAATGCTAAGTTTATCTCATTACATTGCAGCTCAAACGAATTCTGTGATGAAAAACCCATCGTATTCTTTATTTGACTCAATAACTTTTCATTTTAATTTTTGTAGTGACAAGATAAAATTAATTTCTTAGGAAGGCTACTTATTCAGAGCGAGTGTATCAAAAACACCTGACCACAGCAGCAATCGAT